AAGACATTCTTTCTTAACGCTACAATATTCCTTCGATCTATCTCTATGTAATTGAATTAACCGTTAAACAATTGTCAAATGCCAAAGGTCGATTGCAGTCAAGTTGGCGAGCGCAACAAAAAAGTAACGTATCAAGCTCAACGAGAGATCAACGTGGAGATCCTTCCCAAAAATGCACGAATTAAATGTCGGCTCCGCTCGGCCGTGGGAGTGACGCTCCGGGGGGTTTATTTTTTTAGCTGCGCACGTCGTGGCAGTCGTGCTCGCTCGCGTTTAATATACTTTTCTGCGCGCGCGTTTATATAACCAAAGCTGCAGCGGCATCGCGGGCAGCCACGACTCTTCGTGGCGTCGTAAGCTCTTACGCTCGCTGCGCAGATTCCTAAGACCGGCAAGCGAGCACGTAGTCGGTCGCGAATAAATGTATAACATTTATACACCAGAGAAACCGAGCGAGTGCCGCAAGTCGTTCCAACGAGCTTGTCTGTATGTGTGTGTGTGTGTGTGTCCTCGCGTCGAGAGACTACATACGTACGTTGCGCGGCGCAAGAGCTAAAAGGGCTTTACGGTCTGACTAATTAAGGAATGAACGAGCTCGTCGAGGGGCAACGTTTGATTTTAACCTTTTTTCTTTTTCGTGCGCAAATTAACAAGAATTTCGCGGGCAACGAGTACGCGTGTGAATTTTCCACGCGCGCGCGCGCGAGTGATTTTTTAACTTTTTTTTTCTTCGATTTTTATCCCTGTCGACGAATCGTAAAACTAACTCGACGCGATATATCGTACAATGAGCAATTGGTCGGCGCGCGTCCAATATAAACTATATCGCGACGATCGGCAGCGCCGTGTCAATGAGCGCTATACGATGATCACCGATATAAATATTTGTTTCTTTTCCCTGTGCGCGCGTCAGCTGGATCGTCGTACCGCACCGCGATAAGTTTCTCAAGTTGAATAGACTCGCCGTCGTCTTCGTCGCCGCATTCGACGCGCGTCCGCGTATACGCCGTGTAAAATGAGGTATGTCCCGCGATAAGACGAGCAGCGTATCGTGGTAAAAATACGAGCGAGAAAAAGTAACAAAGAAAAGCGCGCGATTGTTAATAACGCAAAAACGTGCGTAAAAATAGCGCGAGGTAATTGCGGCTGACGCAAGTTACGTATGATTACGTCGAATTATTATATTATAGCGCAACGATAGGACTCTTAAACGAATGCAGTTATGGTTTTTTCAATATCGACATTCCATCTATGAAAAACCAAAAATAAGAGCACTTTCAACTTTTGAACTTGGTCCAATGCACGCCGAAATGTTCTCCGCGCAAGCGAACGTAATAAATGATGATAAATATTAAAGAAAATAATAAATCCTGAATCTCATCGATCGTTTCAACCATCTTCGTAATGTAATGATAAATTTGACCCCGCGTTCGTCCGTCATTTTTTTTTTTTCAAAAAACTTTGGCAATAACATTAAGAGCTGCTAGGCCCGAGCGTAAAAAAAGGAGTCGCGTGTAAATCTTCCCGGGATCGCATCAAGATCGGCCAACTCGCGTGTACATTTATAGCGGCTGCCTATTAACCTACTTGCATATATCCCTCGCTTTCTTCTCCCTCCTCGTCCCTCGGGTTGGGGTGGCCGCAATTTTTCGGCTCTGAGTGTGTATACTCGTTATTCATAGCTATGCTGTTATACACAGACCGACCCGCGGTGCAGAGAGAGACGTCGTGAAGTTTTCGAGGAAAAACAGGGCATTATCGTAGCTGCGTCGCGAGGCGAATACACGCACGAAACATCTATTTGTCGCGCGCGGACATTAGCTATGCACCCCGCTCGATGCAGTTATGTGTTGTACCGACAAAAGTAGCTATATAACAATCGCCACTCCGAAGCAGCGACAACAACTTTCGATCTGTGTATAGGGTCGTGTGTATCGCGTCGATAAATCGGAGCGATGCGAGAGCAGCAGCAGCAACAACAAAAAAGTGTACAGTGTCGCTCGTTGGTTATATATAACGTACACGAGTATGGAGAGCCGAGCCGGAAACGAAATAACACATCCTTCATGCGTTCATATATATATATATATATATAGAGAGAGCGAGAGAGATATTGAACAAAACCAATTACTAGACGAAAATTCGAGCTATAAATTATGTTAAAAAAAAGAGCTCCGGGTCGAGCTCGCGGCAAAATTAGTTTGTGCCATCTTACCGATTCTCTTTGTGGTTTCGGCCTGGTATTACACACGAGTACATTGACCCAATAAAAAAGAAGGCGAAATTTTCCAGGGCTCGTTTTGCCCCCGAGTCGGGTGTTGATAAATATATTTTTCAAATTTTTATAATATACATTGCTCCACGTAGGTCACGACTACCATTGCTGTGTCCCATCAAATAAAAATATATATTAACTGTTGCTACGCAGGAACCTCTATATGGGTAATTAAATTTACTAATTTGGTGACTTATATAAAAACTATTTCGTTGACACTGACCCCTGAAATGAAACCGATAATATGAGATATCATGAAGTGGCGATTCGTATGACTTCGCTTTATGATCAGCATAATTCTTGCAGCCGCGAGGTACAGTAATATAACGATGAAAATCTGGTACACTGGCGTCATCGTCGCGCGCAACGACATATCGATCGGCCATCGAGTGGGAGCTGCGATCGGCAATTGAATCGAGGCAGTACAATCGGATGTCCGAATGTGACGGGTGCGTGCCACTGACTTGGAGTACTTGGACCTACATACAAATGAGCATTTGGGGATATCCATAATGACACGAGGTCAAGATCTCACGTGTTACTGGTTTTTTTGCTCTCTCGATATTACATTTTGCTCCCGATATATTCATTCGATCGCGATTGTTTCAACGAAATATTATTATATTATATGCGTGCGTTTGATGAGTCCTCGAGTGCGTGGCACGCGCGGTACAGCTCATCGATCGCACGCAGCATCGGCGACGCAACTCGATATAATATCGAGTACTTGAAGCAGCGGCATAATATCCTGGCCAGTTTATATTATATACGTCTATTTTTAAACCGCACACAATTACATGGAAGCCGCGTCCAGCGCTGAATTTAGCTCGACGGTTCCACATTCTTCGCTCATTGTCCGAGCGCGCGCGTATTATAATGCATTCACACGCGCACAACGAATAACTTGCATATCCTCGTTTGCATCCGCGAGTATAATACGTGTATCTTCTTCGTTTTCTTGTTCACCTCCTCCTTGTTCTTTGCGCGTTTACTTACGCACGTGCGCGCATATTAGTGTCGACAAGAAAAAAAAAAAAAAAAAAAATGAAAGAAAGAGAGAAAAGTCGAGCTTCGTTCCACAATTATCATCACTTGCGAGTACACCGACTCGATTAAAGAAGAAGAAAAAAGTAAGAAAGGTCGAGCTGGTGGAATTTCCAAAGAGAGAGAGCGGCGCGAATTGATGATGATCGTTGCAACAAAATGCACAAATACGATATCTCAACGTTATACTAGCCTTCGAAAAATTAAGCGCCACTACCGCGCGCGGAGACAGCTACAGGTGTGTGCTTTAACAGGTCCCCTGCGCGCGAGAACTCGACCACCCAAAGCTGCGCTTCTCGCACAGAAAAAAAAAAAACGAAGAAAGAGATGATGCACTATCGCGCGAGTATTACATTATTATTATTATTATTATTATTATTATATACGCGAGAGAGTCGAGAGATTGTTGTCGACGATATTAAATTCTCTGACGTCTGAATCTGAATACGCGACACCTTTTGGTTGTTATACGGTGCGCGCCGCACGGCACGTACACCGGCGCGCGAAGATAATTATTCGCCATTAACGAGCCCGGAGGAAAAAGCTGCAGCGGTGCGGCGGACTCGCGGTCGTAATTTGATGAAATTTATCGCGAATGCCCGTAAACCTCGCGCGTCCGTATACTGGACAATCCGTGGAGGATTCGGTACAAAAGGATAGTCGCTGATTTTTCGTTACAATTTTCATCGCGGACTCGAAACGAAACTCATTCAATGAAATCCTGTGTTATAATGGAAACTTAGAGCATCCTCGTGGTCAAGATTAATGAGTTCCATATCCTGGTTCACGAAATAACGAAGAAGCCCAAACGTAAAAACATTTTTATCTAATCCACGCGATTCGCTATATGTATAGGTGTGCTCGCGCGAGAAAGCTCGGGGACTCGACTCGAATATTATATGTACAGTTGGATGTAAATACACTCGACCCCCGTATAACACACGCGCCTGTGTAGGTGTATATTTGTGCCTACTCTCGACGATACGCACAACATTAATTCAAGGAGCTCTCTCGCGCACTCTCGCTTGGATATATACACTTGACTCATCTTTTTTTTCTTTCGGCTCCTCTCTCGCTCGCTTCCGCGATTACACTTTTACCCTCGAGCGAGCGAGCGCAATGAGTCAGTTAATTGCTAAAATGAAAGATTCGCTCTCTCGTATATGTAAAATATTAAGCAGCCGAGACAGAGAGAGAGAGAAAGAGATTAAAGGAATGTCGTTATAAAAACGGATTCCTTCGGCTATTACGCTCGTTGAAAAGCGTACATATTTATTGTATCTCTCGCGCTCTCTCGCGTATTCTGTGATTCAGAAGCAGCTCTCGCTTCGGCATTCGCACCGATATACGTATTGTATTTATTATTGTATGCGCGCGAGCGCGTAGCAGGTATTCGCAAACACACACACACGATTGCTATACAAAAAGAAAATATGGATCGGTCATTGAGCATTTTTATATAAATGTATGAAGTGTACCTACACACGTACGAAATTCGAAGAATTTCGACGAGCGCAATGGGCTTGATACACAACGAGCGCGTGTGTTTGTGTATACGTCATATTGTATCGCGAGGACAAAAATAAATGCTTCGCAATAGAATCATTTTTTCAAATTTCCTAATTAATTCGTAATAAAACAATATTTATAGGAAAATCTTAATAGGCACGAAATCAATAATATAAATTCTTCAATAATATTCAATAGTTCGGTGTTGTTCCGATTACTTACATTGGTTAAAATTTTCATAACATAATAACGTAAATATTATGAAGTCTAACTTAGTTAATTCGATGTGTAACATTACTACGGAAACATTAATCGTTGCCGAAAGTTGAAGTGATCAACATGGAACCAGGTGATATATTCGACTGTGCTTTCAGGTAATTATTAATTGATGAAAAAATGAAACCACTGTAGTTTAATACTTAATCTTATTGTATTTATTTCAGCGTAAAACAGGAAAAAATCGATATGTCGCTAAATGATAATGAAGATTATCAAACAATCGACAAGGCCCCTCATGTACAAAACATTGAATTATCCCAATTTATCCATGGAAATTCAGTAAGAATTGTTAATTATGTGGTACTGTTAATATATGTTTTCAAAATCCTTCATATCATTTCAATTTTATTTCAGATCCAAAGTCTTAAACAAGAGTATGATGAAACAGCTGAGCCTCATGAAGACATGGAAATAATTTTAGAGTGTAAAGACGTAAAGCCTGACAAGGGTTTATTAGTAGTTAAGAAAATGGAGGATTCTTCTGAAAATCATTTGCAGAATATGATATTCAGCGATCAAACTCAAAAAACAATAATTGTAGAAAATGCTGGGGTAGTAAAAAAAGAATTTGTTGGTGAAGAGGCAGAAACATTGACTATTAATTCCGACTGTGAACTCAGTAAGCAAAATGATAAGAGAAGAGTAGAAGAAACATCAATTTACAAACATAGACTCAATACATCCATCGATAAAGTGAATTGTAGTATCACGTGTGATACATGTGGATTGAAATTTAAAACAAAACTTGGTCTCAAACGCCACAACGACGTGAAACATAAGGGTATAAGACATGCATGTAATGAGTGTGGAAACTCATTCACACAGAGATCTCATCTTAAAACCCACATTGAAACGGTGCACAATGGTATTACACATGCATGTAATCAATGCTTAAGATCATATTCACGAAAAAGTTATCTCAAAATGCACATCGATAACGTGCATAATGGTGTATCTCATGTATGTAATGAGTGTGGAAAATCATACGCACAAAGATCTCATCTTAAAACCCACATTGAGTCGCTGCACAATGGTGTTACATATACATGTAATCAATGCGGAAGATCATATTCACAAAAAAGTTATCTCAAAATCCACATCGATAAGGTGCATTTAGATATCACCTACGTATGTGATGTATGCAAAAAGAATTTCTCAACAAAGAGTAATCTCAACATACACATCAATTCAGTGCATAAAGGTATTAGCCACAAGTGTGATTTATGTGAAAAAAATTTTAAATATCGAAGTCATTTGTGCAATCACGTGAAAATGTCGCACAATGGCAATACTCATACATGTAAGGTATGTGGAAAGACGTTCGGGCAAAGAAAAAATCTCCAAGCCCACATCGACATAGCGCATACTCGCGCATCGTGACTTGATTAATGTATAAAATTTACGTTCAATTTCTGTTAAAAACCCCAATGTACAATCCAGTATATTTGTTCGAAAGACTAATTTATAAAATGTTCATTCATTATGATATGAAGAATTCTTTTTGTATCATAATACATCTCTGTAGCATAAGTAAAAATAAAAGTAACCCATAAGTATTTTAAATAATCAATGAATTTTTAATCGCCGAAGAACCATAACGTGTATTGCACAAACAATACGAGATCTATCCGACGTCGCTTTTTACGATAATAATACCAGTAAACATACCAGCCTGCTCATTACCACTAAGAAATTATCACCTTATTATCGATTGAAAAACTCGCGCTCGGCTCACCACCAAAATAATTCCAACGACCAACTACAAAACGTTCGTTTCAAACGGCACGATCGTACGATCGACTTTCGATTAAATCCAAGCGATGACCAAAAGCGCATCCTCCGCGCGGATCGGGTCGCGGAAGTTTTCCACCGAAAGCGAGAAAAATCTTGAGCTATACGTTTATAATAGAACGGATGATCGACGCAGGCGAGAATTTTTACGTTCGATCGGGCGCGATCCGCGCAGACGCGACGAGCAAAAACAAAAAACCAGTCGACGCGAGAAAAAGGATAATCCAAAATTCGAGAGGCCTCGTCATTACCGCGTTTAGGCGCATTTTTATAAGCGCGATCTCGTATACGTATATATGTAAAAACTAACGACTGCAGCGGGACGATGTTCGGGACCGCTGAATTATATTACGAGCGCACGTATATATATATACGCGGCGCGAACAACCGCTAATTCGCACGTGCGGCCTCGCATGAACCCGCACCCGGCTGCTAAGCAAAAACAATAACACGCTATACGTGTATGATGCTTGTTTTGTTGTTTCGATCGCAACGACGCGCAGGTCGTTCAACCGGGCGCCTCTTTACGAGTTGTTGTTCTTTTTTTTTTCACTTAATAAATGTATAAATATGCGGAAGACAGGCGTCGAACGCGTCGTCATCGTCAGGCGAGAACTAAACAGCGAGACAAATTGAAAAAAAAAAAAATAAAAACAACGATCGTTTGACCATGTATAGTGGCACATAATACACGGATCGGTAAAAAGCTATAGACGTGTATGCGCGAGCTTGTTGCGATCGCGAAATATTGTGCGGGCGCCCACAACAACAACAACGAGATTGAAAGTTGAGGGAGAGAGAGAGAGAGAGAGAGAGAGAGAGAAAAAAGAAAAAGTAAAATAGTTTCGTCGCGATATATTTCACTGTAATAATACGTAAGCTCCGTACAAGCAGCAGTAGTGTACCTTTTGTGAATGTGTCATCGCGAGCGCACGCACAGGATTCCACCCGCTGCAGCTGCTGCCGATGGCGCGTCGTTAAGATTATTTATCGAAGATATTTTTGACAATTCGTTCCCTCCATCTCGGCACAAGGTGATTTGCAACTCGCTATAAACGTCCTTCGGGATAATGCGCGGCCCGATGCGGTCGAATACTTGCACGCACACACACACGCGTGTGTCTGGGCTTGCGATGCGCTTATACTTACGTATGTATGTAACGTATATAACCACGCGAAAGGGGCAAGTATACATCGGACGCGCGCGTGCTCGCACACTGTACATAAATACATGATGTATCGTTAATGTCTCAACTTTTCAATATCGCTCGAACAATAAACTTTATCCTTTTTTTGCGTTCTCTCTCTCTCTCTCTCTGCGCTTGGTAATAAAAATGTGAAGCTGCTGTGTGCGGCGCTGCGTCCCTCACGGCTACATGTGCAGCGCACAACGAGTATGCGTCGTCTCGTTACTCGTCTCTCCATATATATATATATACGAGCGAGCATCTCTCTCGAGCTCGAGCGTCGACGCGCCGATTTTCATACACATGCATCAGTCATTTTTTCACCTTTTTTTTTTTACTTTAACACGCTAACCACATATCTCGGGCCCGAAACGTATATCGGGCGCGCAAACAAGATCTAAATCTGAGAGAGAGAGAGAGAGAGAGAAAGAGCCAGGCAATCTTCTGCTCGGTCGGATAGATAAAGCGATTTGTACCTTTGGCTTCGAAAAAAAGCACGCCCATGTAGAAGCTATACGTATAAAACAACAAGAAAGATTTTGCGCACGGTAAATGGGCGTGAACCCCTTCGTTTCTTTCTCTCATTTTCTCGCGGCGGAAGTGTATAAATAAGGTTAACTTCGTTCCCTTTTTCCTTTATTTCATTTTATTTTTTGCCTTCAACCCGCACCAAGCTGCACACACGTATTACAGATTAAATGCGAATGCGCGCGAAAGTCGAACTCCGCCTCATCGTGCACGAATCTATGAGAAGTCATCATCGCGTCGAGGTGCGTATATTCGCACGTATCGTACTAACGAGAGCTTAATTGTGTATCTCTCTCTCTTTTTCTCGCTCGACTTAATCGTTTGTAAACAAACCAGATGATCGTGGTTACAACTCAAGTATCCGAGGGAATATATTTAAAGCTACTTCGTAACAATTACCGCTACGAGGCTCTTTTCTAAAAGGACTTCATTCGCGCAAGAGAAAAATATTTTCTTCGTTTATATAATTACACTCTTCGTTATACTTTCTGAACTCTTGAAAATTTATAGTGAAACTTTGTTCTCATCATAAATTATCAAGCGTTCCTAAAATTAATCAAAGAAAAATAAATAGATTTGTAAAAGACATCAACTTCCTCATAGTACACGAATCTATGAGAAATCTCGATCGCGTCGAGGTGCGTATATATTCGCAGGTACCGCACTAACGAGAGCTTAATTGTGTATCTCTCTCTCTCTTTTTCTCGCTCGACGTAAGGACTCGATGATGTGTCCCGAGCTCGTTATACCGAGTATATCGATTTCAGCATTCCAAAAAGTATCAATTATGTCAATTAAAGAGCCATTAAAGCGCGCGTGTGCTCATACTTTTTTACGGCCGATTTATTTATTATTCTCGTTAATTTTTCGGGCCGCGGTGGAGCCACGATCAAGATGAAGGAGCGAGACGCGACATTCAAGCGACATAAAGAAAGGATTCCCTCGGTGCGCGCTCGCTGCGAAGTTCGAGGCGATCCTCCACAACGTTTCGAGCGTATAATAAAAAATTTCAGGTAAATAAAAAGTATTTCTAAATAATATTTTTTTACTTCGCGCTCGATGCAAGTGTTTTCGAACGCGTGTAAAAAAGTATGCGCGAGTAATTTTACGACGAACGCACCGCACCCACGCGCGGAAAGAGTCGACCCCCGGAACAGAAATCGCGGGATTTCCATCCTCTAATGAGATAAAGGATAAACATTATCGTTTACACATTCGTATTAATGCGTATATATATGTTGTTTGTGCGCGAACTGCGGGCGTATCTTTCGGTTATCCACACGACTCGATTCGTGCGAGCGACGCGGCGATAAATTCCCATGAATTTACACGCGCCAATGACGATTCGTCGACGTAGTTGTCCGAGACGTATATATAGGATGTTGATATCGAACGAGACACGGAAGAAAATCCATCTAGGAGACAGAGAGAGAGAGAGAGAGAGAGCGATATTAGACACGCTGGAGCGAGCCTCGAAGCTGCTGCTGCTGCCGGTGAAAGATAAGACGAGCTCGTCGAGCTTTGATTGTTTCTGGTCTAGCGAAGTTCAATTACGATTTTGTCTATGCCATGCGATGATATTGTAACACTCGTCCGTCGCGCAAAGAGAGAATATAACATGATCGGCCATTTCGTTAATGTATTTCGAGCTTACAATCAGCATAGTCGACGTCGCGAGCTTTCGAGGCAACCGACAATTATATGTAATATAAGCGACTGCGAGGATTATTTCGGTGGCGGTCCTCGCGACAATGGGGCTATGTACTACTACTACTACTACTACCATAGCACGTGTCTACTACACAGCTAAAAGCCATTCGCTCGAATCTTCGGTGCGCCTCGTGCTTTCTTCTTCCGCAGCCCTCCCCCTCGTGGCAGATATATGCCTCCTGCGCTTGACAATGCGCCCATGTCTGTGGTATAATACAGCATGCCCGTACACGCGCGGATGGATCATCGTCCCTGTCGCGCCCAACGAATCTGCTATAGAGAGACATGGAGGAGGCAATCTCGTCCTGTACATATCGTGTATAGGCACTCTACTCTTTCTCCCTGTTACGCGCGGCTCTCAAAGACAATGAATCCCGAGCGCGCGGACAACTGTACGTATGAAACGTCTCTCTTTCGCTCGCTCGGTGAGTCGAGTCGACGACTACTAAACATCCCCCATTTTTTGGGAGAGGCAGGGACGAAAAGGGCGGAAAATTTTTAGCGAGTCATTCTTTGATATGCGCTTGTCCTCTTTAGCGCAGAGAGAGAGAGAGAGAGAGAGAGAAAGAGTACGATTCCCATTGTTGTATGCACGTAGAGAAAGAGAGAGAGAGAGGGGCAGAGATGCCATCCATCTACTTTGGCGCGTGGCAAGTTTCCAAAGGCAGCCGCGCGCAGCTTTTCCCTCTCGATTCGCAGCTCTTACATGTAATACGTTATGTATGTGTGTGTGTAGTAACTGTATACGTGCGCGTATGAACTCACCCTCTCGTGCTCTCGAATATATGTGTAAATGTGTCTGTGTACGAGTGTGCAGTACGTGTGCTTTTCTCGCACGATTTAATTATCGAATCGGCAAAAGAAATTCCCTTTAGCGATTGTTTTCGTCAAGCTCGCGCGCACGTCGACGGCGGCCTTCTCGACGTTTCTCCTCTCTTCTTCTTCCTCTTCTTTTTTCTCGATATTGACCCCCTGCATCGAAACGATCCTTATATCGCCTCCGAGTCGCGAGCATAGACTGTATAAACAAGCTATCGTTTGGTCATTCTTGTTTTCTCTCTCTCTCTCTCTCTCTCTCTCTGACTGTCTTGAAAAAAAAAGAAAGAAAGGATCGTCGAATCTAGGGCTGGCACACGCGACCAAAGTTTGTTGACTTCTCCCGATATATAGATTTCGCGCGCGAGCTCGATGTTATGTATATAATGCGGCAACGACGAAGAGGGAAATAAAACAGGCCTCGCGCGACCCTACGATTCGATATTTCCGTACTCGCACACACGCACCGTAGTTAAGGAGTGATTTCAAATCTTTAATTCATTATTCTCTAT